AACAAACCGAAAAATCATAAAAAGGGGTAACAAACAAAAAGCTTCATTTAGTTTTCCTGTTTCTTGTAAGTCTCCCGTTTCTTCCTTCCAAAAAAATAAATAGAAAGGTTTCCTGTTTGTTCCTTCCAAAAAATAAAAAGAAAATAGAAAATTACGTACTAATAAATGTCCTATTTCAGTTCAGGGAAGATTAATTTCCTTGCCTCTTTTGGAGAATTTCTAGTAGGTATAGGATTAGTTTCCTGTTTCAGGACAAGATTAATTAGGTGATTATATAAATACATACTTTGCCGCGGCATACCGAAAACCCCTTCTGCCGCGGCATTCACAAACCCTAAATTCCCTTTTGCCTCAATTTCAGCATTCCAATAGTAAAGGACATATCATGGGGGAAATATCTCAATTTTCCGTGGCCGCCGTTGATGAGCATACCTCGGGTCAAATGGCTTTTTCATGCCAAGATGAGATACTGGGCAAGATATCGCAGATCGAGAAAACTGTGGGCCAACTGTTGGATTGGTCGAAATCAATAACGCAGGAGTTTGGCTTACTCCGCCACGGTCCAGCCATAACTACGACCAAGCCGCTTCCACCTTCCGCGGTGTTTGAGGACTGCAATTCTGACCATGAGGCTGATGATTTTTACCCAAGGTCAGTTCTGAATTCTCATTGTTGTTTTTCTTTTCTTTTTTGTTTAGTTTCTCTCCCTGCTATGCATTTTGAATAATTTGCTTGAAATATATATATATATATATGTATAATAACCAGTTTCTACTAGATATTTTGACCCAAGAAAAAAAAATTATACTAGATATATTCTCTCTAGGCAGGGTAGATCTTTGAAAAATGATTAACTTGACTTGTTCTATACATCTCTTTTCTCTCAGCTTGCCTGAGGATTGGGAGCAAACATCAATGACGGTATATCAAGAGGAAGCTAGATCTGTATGTTTATTCGTGTCTTCTTGTGAGGACAGAGAATGCACTAATTTAGTCTATGAAGTGAAATTCACACACAGAGGAGAAGTCAAGCATGAACCCCCAGTAGTTAGACAAGTTGCCAAGTTCCACGAGGGTTTTTGCCTTAACGCTGCACGCATTTTCAACCATTCCAAATTATACTGCATTGGACAAGATAGTGGATTTATTGTTGACACGAGGAGTTGGTCAAAATGTTCATCTCTTCCTCCTATCCCGTCCTCTAACTTACTAGAAAATATTGTGTGTGCGTATGGCAAGGTTTATTATTTAGCATGTTCGTCACCCTTCTCACCAATTACGGGACACTCATTTGGGAGATATAATCCTGATCATAAGGTTTGGGAACAAATGACTTCTTTTCCATTTTATGATGATTATGACCTCACTATGGAAATGACTGGTTATGCCGTTTGTTATGGAGTTATTTTGTTTTCATTGTCTGGCTTGAAGGACGAGAGTTTCAGTGTCGTTGCTTTTCACGTGGGTAGAAGGGATTGGAATCGAGTGAAAATTGACACTTCTGCTCATTGTGCTCCTCTTTTCGAAGGGAGGGTCATGGTTGTAAACGAGACTATATATGCCTTATATGGGGATGCAAAGATTAAAGCATTCTCCTTTATAGGGGAACAATGTGATGTTAATGGTATTTCATATTCCCTAAGGCAACTGTTTGTGGTGCAAGGCCTTGATATCGCACGTCCACTACTGCCATGGTTTAACGAAATGACACACTATTTGGTTCATTTGGGAAACCATGACTTTTTCTATGTCCAGACTGGCAAGTGCGATTCGCATCCCAAGGTTCAATATCTTAGTATCACCACGTTTGAAATTGTTCTTGGAAAAGGAGGAAAACATATGATCAAGATCATAGATTCATTTGTTCATTCTGTGGATATCAAGGGCTCTGAATGGTTCAATCTTGTTTTTTGCTTCACACCGTAAGTTTCCTTCACGTTTCTTGTGTTTTTATCAATAACATTTAATTTGTACCTAGGAATTCTGGTGCATTTTGTATATAACAAGGTTTCTCATTCTTATGACTCAGTGAGTGCGATGATTATGAACCCATTGAAGTACTATGAATCGGCCAAAACAAGAAGAAATAAATGCCATGAAGCTCGAAATAGAAGCCATGCATGCAACTTGAAGAAGCCAATGATATGCGAATTGAATATCAGGAATTGTGAAATATAAAAATTTAAAA